CCTTTGCACCATCGTTGGTGTACTCGGCACCTTATTGAGAATCTACTCCGAAAGGATGGTGTGAAGGATAACTTTGATCTGTTCCAGGAGGCTGCTCGACAGCTTGAGGACAAATACTTTCAGAAAAAGTTGGAGCAGGTCAGAACCGTATCAATTGTAGAAGGTAGACAATGGCTCACAGGTTTGATGAGGGATTTGGAGAAATGGACAAGAGCTCACGACGCCGGTGGATGGAGGTACGAGTTTTAGTGCAGCAACATGGCGGAGTCATTCAATAAGTTGCTATCGGGAATATATGGTATGCCCGTGAATGCAATCGTTCAATTCACCTTCTACGAGCTTGTTGTCTGGTTCAACGATAGACACGCCCATGCATTGAAGTTGCAGAGTGATGGAGAGATATGGGCTCCGAAACTAAAGACACACCTAGAGAAGGCAAATGAAAGGGCTGGCACACATAAGATTATATGTTTTGACCACGCCACAGGGACTTATCAGGTTGAGCATAGGGGTGGTACAATGTCCGACGGCGAGGTCCGAGAGTCGAGGATGTATGTGGTAATCCTTAAAGATTTCACATGCACTTGTGATAAACCAATGCAGTACCACTTTCTATGTTCTCATTTGGTGGCAGCAGTTAGGCATCGCAACTTTAATATCGAGAGTAGGATATCTCACGAGTTCAGTATCGACACGCTTATGCACACATGGAGCCCCTGCTTCGTGCCTTTCCGGGACCCTGAAGAGTGGCCTCCATATGATGAGCCCCCGTTCTCAGTGCCGATAACCATGGCGTCAAGGTGCCTACCAAGTCACCACCATGTCTGCGTCGAGCCCAAGACCCAGGCGCCAAAGGCCCCGTCCACTTCGTTGAAAAAACAAGCCGAAACACTGTACCGACTAATTTGTTGTGAGAGAAAAACACTGTTCCAGATGAAAAAAAAACAAGCTGAAAAGTACGGATTATAAGAGAAGCGAACAGGACAAAATCTATGGCGCTGAGATGTGTAAGCTCGACGCCGATAGTGCCGATAGCACCGAGCTAAGGATCAGATTTTGAAAGCATAACTCCAGGGACATATTTATATATATTTTTTTTAAAGAGAGTAAAAAACAAAAAATTCGGCACGGGAGACCAGAGAAGTGGATCATTGTGGATGTTAAATGAACTTTTTTATTTAACAACATCATAGAGGCCACAAACCACGGCCTTGGCCCATATATCTATGTGTACTATCCCATCCCAAAAGCCCCGTTGCCGTGGAGAGGCGAGCGGCGATCGACCCAAGACAAGTCCACAAAGGAAAAGGGTAAAAGAAAGAGCAGTAGCGAACTAGCTAGCGACGCGCACACACAAAAAGGCAAAAAGAAATTCCTCTCGTCACCGCGAGCTCCCCGCCGAGCTCTCACCCTCTCCGTCGGTGATGGCAACTCAGAGCTCCAAGACCGCGGACACCGCCGCGCCTGCCCCGGAGGCCGCAACCACCGGAGAGGCGGCTCCGAGCTCTGCTTCCTCAACACCGGCACAAAACCCTACCGCTGCTGCAACCGCGGTCGCCGGGGCCACAGATCTGGAGAAGAAGATGCGCCGCGCGGAGCGGTTTGGGACGCCAGTGGTCATGTCAGAGGAGGAAAAGCGCAGCAGTCGCGCCGAGAGGTAAGTGTTCTGTGGATCCCCTTTACTAGGGTTTAGAGGATTTGTCCTAACAAATCCCGAAGTTCATGTTGGAAAGTGCTTATTCAAGCACAATGTGTCACTAATCTCCTAACAAAATAGATGTGCGGTATTGCAGCATGCATGTTTTGGTCATTGGGTGTGTATTGAATTGCTACACTGTAGGCTTTTAGGGTACTAAAGTACTTAAGATAAGGTCTAGCTCCAACACTTTAGGCTTTTAGGGTACTATAAAGTTCTTGGACAAGGTCTAGCTCCATGCATTTCAGTTCTCTACCTGTGTTCTTCTGAGGTTGCACGTTGCAGTTATTCATGATGTTGCAAGGCACGTGGGGGTGATGTTGCAGCAATTCTGTGCTCTGCGTTATTCAATGAGGTGTCCAATTCTGTTGTTCATAGAGATTTCAGTGCATTTCAGGACCTAAGCAGCTAGTTCCCTGCATGAATGATGTTTTATCGTTTTAAGTGTTTCATGCAGTTTATAACTAAGTTACTTGATTGTTGATACTGCCTGTGTATTGAATTTTCACCCTAGATTTGCATCCATCGTTTCTGTGTTTGTTGTGTAGGATATGCAGTTAGGAGTTCAAAAGATTTAGGTACTTAGTTTAATTCATCGGTGCCCAGTCTTTAGATGACCATACAAGATCGTGGACATTTAGATGCAAGATCTAGTAAATAAAATTCAGAATATATCAGTCTATTTCGTTTCTAGGTATGGAGCTTACTTGGTATATTGCCTATCTAATTAAGCCATAAGTGTGTAGATTTGAGCCATCAAGCCTATGGCCTACTTCTAGTTTTTAACTTTGGGTTTGATGTTCTAACTCAGTATAGTCAGATCCGAGTGTGCTAGATTAGTGCCCGTCTGGCATGGTTTCCATTGGCTCAAGCTCCTGCTACAGTTCCATTGGCTACTAGTTCATTTTAGCAAGAGGGAAAACTGTCTTCACCTGAGAATGGCAAGCCAGAGCCAACGGAACTGTGCCAAAAGGACCCTTAGTTTTGTTACTTAAGTGGTAAGATTATATAGGTAATAAAATGATGATGTGGTGTTATTGAACTCTTAATTGCATATGACGTGTTTAACTTCATTATACAATGTTAAATATGCGCTGTATGCTTTTGGGGTGCTTACACTGACATAGTCTCATACAGATATATAGTCTATTCATTTGTTTAGTGTTTCATGTAAGTTCTAGATAAGGTTGAGTTGCTTCTTAAAACCAAGCACAACTTCACTTTTCAATCCACTCAAGGGCCAAGCTTAGTAGAGCCTCTGCTCTTTTGTGTTTGTTTGAGCATACTCCAAACTTTGATCATTCCTGTTTGGCTGATCAACTTTCCATATGATATATATTACAATTACTAAGTAAATTGCATTTCACTTGTCTTGTCTACAAGATTTGGGACTGGATCTTCAAGTGTAAAGGAGGAAGAGAAGAAGAAGTCCAGGGCTGAGAGGTGTGTTAATCTTAGAAAATTCTCTAATTTCGTTCTAGGTTTTTTATATGCTCCCAAGTAGTGAACTGATGCTTGGTTAAATGGATGGAATTGCCAGGTTTGGCCTTGCCTCATCCTCTTCTTCAGATGAGGAAGCTAAGAAAAAGGCCCGTCTGGAACGATTTGGTCAGGGCACAAATGTTGACAAGGCGGAAGAAGAAAAAAGAAAGGCCAGAGCAGCAAGGTTAGTGAATGCGACAGTGTCGTATCATTCCTGATTATTCTCTGTGGAACCTAGAAACCAGCTCATCTCTTCACAACTTCATCAGATTTGGAGATACATCTAGTGGACCAGCTCGGGAAAATGGCAAAGACAGCTCCAAGGCGGTATGTTTTACATGGTTATGTGAAGAACTTTGGGCACCTGGCCCACATGATTTTGTTCAGAACTTTCACCTCCAATTGGTTTTTATTTGGCTCTTGTCTTCGTCTGTTTGTATTTGATTGACACAGGACGCAGCCGCTGTTACAGGCACAGCTTGATTTCAGCACTCCACCTTTGATGAGGTTAGACAACGCTGTTACCCTCCCAGAACAACGTTTTCCTTGCCAAGACTTGCTGCTGTAGTTTCCCTAACATGAAAAAAATCAACCTCGCCTCCTGCAGGTCTCAGATATTATCCTAGGAGACTTTTGGTGAAGCCATAGCTTGTACACCACTAACTGCATGAGCGGGGTCACGTGTTTCCCAGTCATGCTGAAGTGATGTTTACCGTGTATGACTTTCTTAGTTGCTGGGCACTGGCAGTGTAGCTAGATTTGCTGCCTGGTTTGTGGATGGTCATGTACCTTCGGTTGCCGATACCATTTGGTGGATGATTTCGTTTCCATGTACCCCAGTTGGACTAGTTAATGTTAAGTCAAGGGTTAGGGTTGGGGTTTTTGATCCGATTTGAATCACTTCTTTCTTTATTTCTTTCCCGTTTTCTACCTCAAACTAGATCTACTCACTAGAACTTGGCTTTGATACCAATGATAGATTTCTAGGACCATTAGGCGTAGATCTAGTAGGTAAAACATAACTTAGATAAGGACTTGGTGATGTACCTTGCCGTATGCAGTGGTGGTCATGGCGCCGCCGCGATGTGGCCACTAATGTCGGAGTAGAAGTAGCATTGTAGTGGGGCGCGGTCTAGTAGCGACACTGATGGAGCTTCCCGTCGCTCACATCACTCTCCTCTCAATTGGACTAGGGTTAGACTCGTTGGGAAACTGACGGCAGCAGTGAACCTCGTACCTTGCGCCCTGGTTTCCACCTTCCTCTTTATAGCGCTGCGCGACGGGATTCATCACCTAGAAGAACGGCTGGGCGCTTTCGATAAGGCGCGGATCAAAGGCCTAATTAGCCGTTGGCCAACCGGTGGAGATCAATCAAACAGTTAACTGTTAGAAGACAACAAGGTGGCCCTCTTTTGTTGTGTGTGTGCCCCGTGTTTCTGTTGCTACAATGCTAGAAAAACGGGATATGGAAATCCATAATCACGGAGCATGGGCGTCTGGGAGTAACAGATAACGCATGTGGTGCAGGTGCGATGCTCGTCCAGTGGATAAATGGTCCATTTGTGAAAAGCTACCGGGACGGTATGGTCGTATCGTATGGATCCAGCAAAATGCCGTTGGCATTTCCTCTGACAACCGTATCACATTCTGTTCGATAAACTCATCAGCAAACAGAAACAAATAAAGTACACCTAGAAATTCATTCTTTGTAAAAAAGTGTCTCCACGTGAGCGATCTTATTCCATTCTCTACAGGTACTCCACTAAACAACTATGTATAAAATCACTGCAGTTGAAAATGAACAGATGCACGCTCGGTGGCCTCAGTGGCCATAGAGTTCCTGGTGGGCGACGAGCTGCGACCGCCGCTCGATGGTGTAGCGCAGCTGCTCCTTCACCCGCCGCAGCGCCAGGAGAACGGACTCCACGTCGCCGTGTGGCTTCGGCGGCCCCGTTTGAGCGGCGGCCGCTGCCGGTTGAGGCTGGGGGTCGGCTAGAACGATCGCAAGCTTGTTGGTCTCCTCTTCCTCCTGCTGTTCTTCCTCGTGACTCCTGGCACGGACCTCTCCTGCCTGCGTCTCGTTGTCCTGCGTTCTTGGACCGTCGTCTGCTGCTGCTGCTGCAACGAGCTGGGGGTCTACTAGCACAAGCGCTAGCCTGTCGTCGCTTTCGTAGAACGCCTCTTCGGATTTTGCTGAGCCACAGCCACTGGATGCATCAAGGTGTTGCCTGACACAAGAACACATCACACGAGTCATATATGCAGTACTAGTACGTGTGAGAAAAAAAAAAAACTAAACCGCAAATATAGCAGGCGAAAATTGGAGTAGATTTGCTTATGGTCACTTGTGGTCATGCGCTTTGCAAATGCACAATCTTTCATTCGTTTGGGACGCTATGTAGCATCCACCGGTGTCCGGTGTGATAAAGGAAGTTATCAGGCCGAATTGGCTTTTAAGCTAGCTCTAAGTATTTTTATCATATTTTAATAAAATTGAGAGAAAACTAGCTTTTAATCAAGAGCTAAACGTTTACACACATTTCAAAGTTATGTGTGAATGTCACGTGGGGTCATCAGTCCACTTTTGACCCCTAAACTATTGTGTTGGTCTAATTTTAATCCTCAATTACAAAACTGTCTAGTACCGGTACCCTAATTGTCAAAACCGTTCACTTTTAGCAACTAAATGAGGGTAAAAATTGTTTTTGACCGACGTTAATGGTTTTGACCACGCCTCCCTCTCCACGCCGCATGTACCGCAAACCGATGTTGGGGCCTCTGGTCTTCCCTGCTCGAAACTGGGAAGTGCCTGAATAAAGGTTGTAGTTCTAAGTGCAAGCTTGGGGCTAGTAACTTGAACGAGCAGTGTCACAGTGAAATCTAAAAACACACGACGCCAAAAATAGTGCTGACACTGCTTTTGCCCGGATCCATGATCACCGTGATCCGGTCACCGAGGGCCGAAGCGCTTTGCTTTCTTCGCACCGTCTTTGCCTTCGCTGCATTGTTATCATAGCGATTCGCCGCCGACCATTGTCGCCTTGCGTCTTGAAGTGGCTAAGCCGCTCTAGCCTCGCCTCGTCAGAAGCCGCTTCTCCGGTCATTTGCTACGCCGGTCCCTCGCGCATGCTGCCGCCTCTTTCTACCGCTATCGCTTGCGACCGATCGTGTGTGCCCTTTGTCGCCGCAACGCCTTCGGCAATTTGGCCATGACCATTGCCGCTGCGTGCCTCTGCTGAGACGTTGGCTCGCCACGCCGAAAGTGTGGTGGTTCGCAAGCGTCGCGCGCCATGGTGGCCGAGAGCCCCGCCGCCATTACGTGCTGGTTGGGCACAATGGCTGCGCCAAATCTTGCCCATGCCGAGCCATCATCTGCGCGTGCATGTGACTTCGCCGCCGCGGTTCTCTGCGTCGAAAGCTGTGGCGAAGCTCGATGCACGAAAGTCGGCGCGACCGCGCCCACAAGGTAGCTAGGAACCTCGGGAGGCTACGTGTAAGAGGAATTGAAGAGAGGTCGAGTGTAGGTGGACGAATTTTGAGGCGGAACCTGGCGAGCTCAATTGCTGGCGATGGAGCTGACATCCGTGGCGAGCTCGGCCAGTGCGGTGTAGAGGAGGTGGGTGGCGGCCGCGTGAGTCCGCCGCGCCGCCGCCGCCACCACTTGCTCGAAGCGCCAGCCGCCTTTGCTCAAGGCTGCCGTCGCAGTGACACACTGCTCACGTCATCGCATCTTTGCTTGCGCTGTGCGTCGTAGCCGTCTTTTCGCCACCGTGTGAGAGAGAAATAGAGGGGGCTGATGGCATGGTCAACGCCGAGGGCAAAGTCTTGCTTGCGTCGGAGGAGTAGCACCCGCGAGGGAGGAGCTGTGAGGGAGCAACGCCGCCTTCCATGCAGCCGGAGTGAGGAGGCGTCAGGGAGTGGCCACGAGGATGGAGAAGGAGGGGTTGAGTCGATGACGCGTGGGCCCCACATGTCACTGAGATGGAGATCAACGCCAACGTGGCGTGGTCAAAACCGCTCCACGTGGGACAAAATAGCCTCACCCGCGTCCAGGTGCTAAAAGTGAACGGTTTTAACAGTTAGGATACTAGCCATTAGACGATTTTGTAGTTGAAGGTCAAAATTAGACGAACCCAATAGTTGAGGGGTCAAAAGTAGACTTAATCTATATTAAAAGCTATGTGCTAAAAATTAGTAATATTGGAGAAGTTAGTTGAGAGCCATGCAGGCATGCTATACTAAAAGGCAATCATTCTGTTCTAAGGCAAAGGGAAGCACTAATTGTTTCCTCTGTACCTAGCATGGTGAAAGATGCCTATTGGAGCTAGCATCCAGGAGCTCCAAAAAGGCAAACATTTAAGAGGAGGAATGCTGACATAATTCTCGCTGGAAGTCTGGAAGAAGGCAATTCTTCTGGACAAAGATAGTAATAAGAAAGCTAAAATCCAGTAACTATGATGAAAACAAAAACAAATCCCTAAATTAAGCAAGTGTTTTTTTATCAACAAGAAAATTAACTACCGGTTGGCATTGAGTCGATCTGCACGCGTACCTCTCTGAATCATGGTCACCGCCACTCCCCTCTGAACTGCAGTGGGTGGTGTTTCCGGCAAGATACATGCAAGAACCAGGCCGGGATTGCTCTGACACAACGGAGCACCAGCTCCCGTCCTGGGAGGACGAATTCACCTGAGTGCATGATCCCTCCGATGATTCCCTGGCGATGTCCCTGTCGGCGTCGGCGTCTCCGGAAGGACCGGATGGCACAGAACCATCAGTGGTCAACGAGCCAGGGCTGTTCCTCTCCTCCACCGTCTCCACCTCCACCTCCGGCGCCTGGTGGCCGGAGCGGCCATTGGAGGAGAGCGACCCAATGGAGCCGTCCGAGAGCTCGACGTCCAGAATCTTGAGGGATTCCAGCTTCTTGATGGCCCTCCTGAGCCTCCTCTCCGCCTTGTTCCTCACCTTGACCTCGTCGGCGAGCTTCTTCTCTAGCTCGTCCAGCTGTGACCCAAACCGACCATGAAATCGACAGAAAAGAGAAAGAGAGTTCAATTAGTATGTGAGCCAATAGGAATTAAAAGAGGATGGAGCAGTACGGAATGTGCTGCAGAAGATGGGATAAGATGTAATGTACCCTTTTGGACAGTTGGTCGGCCTCCTCCTTTGCAGCCTTGGATGCCACCCTCTCTGCGAGAAGCCTCCCCCTCAGGCACTCCACCGTCCTCATGCCACCGCCACCGCCACCGCTCACCCTGCAATCAATGCAACGAAACACAAATGCAGACAGGTCAGAGATTGATCCTTGGATCCCATGAAGCAACCAACATGCAGCTCAATGCAAGAAAGAAAAGAAAAGAAAAAGGAATGATGCTAGAGTTTCCAAAAGAAAGAAAAGAAAAGAAACGATGCTGGGAGCCAAGAAACCATCCACGAATGCAAGAGAGAATGAACCAACTCGGGGAAATTCGGCAACCTGCATTGCACCGCCTGCGCAGCCATTCTCCGATCCTTCTTTTACCCAAGCTTGGCGTGTGATATGATACCGGATGGTGCTCGGGCTCTGGGAACTAATCTGCAGCGTTTGGCGGCGGCCCTGGGCGCTTCTTGCGTGCGGCTCTGACTTTTGAGCTCGCGGGCAGGGGACGGCGCAGCGGCTGCTGAACTGGAGGCGGCTTGAGGCGGAAGGTGTCGGACGCCTCAGTTCGGGGCGTGAGCCACAGGCACACAGCACGCTCTCCCTGTGGGAGTGGGTCTGGATCAGAGGAGTGGTACCAGCGCCAAGGCCTCGAAAAGAAGCATGGGATTTGATTACCACAGGGGCCGCCGGTTTTGTCCGCGAGACCGTGAACGCCACCCGTGAGGTGCATTACTGGCGTCACTTGAAACATCCCCTCTTTTCACTACACTGCAGTACATTCTGCAGGCACCGCATTTTCTGTTCTTGTTTCTTTTTGCATCACTGAAAAATTATGGATATGAGAATACGTGAGGTTTTTTTCCCCGTCACAGAAGACAGAATGCAAACAAGGGCCTTGTTTAGATCCCATCAAAATTCCAAATTTTTTCACTCTCTCTCCGTCACATCAATTTTTAGACACATGCATGGAGCATTAAATGTAGGTAAAAAAAATAATTAATTGCACAGTTTTGTTGTAAATCACGAAACAAATCTTTTGAACCTAGTTAGTCTATGATCGAACAAAGTTTGTCAAATACAAACGAAACGTGCTACAATGTCCGGATTACAAAAATTTACAATCTAAACAAGACCCGGTCCTAAATGCAACGTTGTAGCAGTCACATCACATGAGGATCTGTGACTGTGTGTTGAGCTCAAAAATATACTCCTTGGCAGCTGCCAAGTGCAAGGCACAAGCCCTAACCTAAAAAAAAAACTGATCCTGTAGATCACTGTAGATGGTACAGATAAGAATGCTAACGATACTAAAAGCAACGCTGTATTTACCCGTAATAATAATGCTAATACAGCTATTAACAAAGGAGATGGTCCCAGGGGACATGTGGGGCAACCGCCTTGGGCCTTGCAAACTGCAATCTTGGTTCCTGTCATCGTGTATGTGAGCAAGGGAGGACAGCGGACGGCAGAAAGGGAAGCCACGTGACAGCCCGATCCTCCTGCTGGCTGTCTGGCTCATTCATTCATTCAACCCGCTTGCTGCTGTTCGACTTCGACCCCAGCCGGCCGCCCAGCCCTGCTGTCCTCTTGCTGAATTTTCTTTTCCTCGTGGTTTTCAGCAGCGCCTGAAAAGAATCCCTGGCAGCCATCGACTTCTCATTTGTTTTCTTTTACAGAAAAATACAGTACACTAGACGAGTGCACGTAGCATGTACCATGATACCAGGACAAAAATCGCGTCGAGCGTCCTTGTCGCGCTGCCTCACGAGCTTCCTGTGCTGCTCCCCGCGATTTGAACCGAACTGAAGTGACCTGAATCGGGGAGAGAACCGACAAGATGGCGCAGCGATAACAATGACAGTTGAGCTGTCCGTGCTCTCATGTGGATTCTCAAATATACTATCAAATGTTCTCTTCTCTAAAGAATAATGTGCTAACGAACAGTATAAGCACGGAAAGTTTGGTGAAACAGAGCATATAGACTAACCGGAACTGACCTGCCATGTCAAATGCAGAGAGGAGTTGGCTGGAGAGGTGCTGGAGCCTGGAGGGATTATTGGCGTTCGGCACCGCCCAACCCTGTGAAGCGTGAGCCTTTTGTGAACCTACTTGAGAGTTGAGATTCTCTTCGTGCCGCATGAGCTGCTGCTGCTGTTGCTGCTGCCGTTCTTGTACCGTACGAAAATTCCTTCACCCACGAGCTTAACAGCCAAGAATAATTCCTTCACCCACGAGCTTAACAACCAAGAAATCAAGAATAATGCGCGAATAATTGGCACGAGGAGAACCGACAGTAAGCTGCAACATTTCCCCCTGGGATCATGCCAGGCCTCGTAGGGTCCAAAGTATTGGGTCCTCGCGCTCCTCGGGCTGCTGCCATCTTGGGTCTCTTGAAGGTTGAAGCCATGGTTAGACTAGAGCTTCGACCAGTCAAAAAACTATGCGTTGAAAAGCAACAGGTAGAAGAAAGTGTAAAGGGACCAAAGTAGGATGACAAAGATGACGAGATGGGGACTGTACCTGTTCCACTGGGAACGGTAACTTCTAGGTACTGCAGTGCAGAAGTATCCTTCTACTGGGGGTCCACGTCTTTTTTTTCCCCACATGATTACAGCGCGCGGTACCGACGACCATCATTGCTGATCTGGGAGAGCGACGAACGATGATGGCCGCGGCGCCTCTCCGGCAAGTGAATGCAAGCACACATAGCCCATGCTGGCGTTCGGCGTCCGTGCAGGCCAGCCAAAGCCAATGCACAGACGACACCGCCTCCTTGTCCACCTCTGCCGCTGGTTAGCACCGTGACCTGCTGGGTAGGCGTGTCACGTGCACAAAGGTATCATCAGTATCAGCAGGCATAACACTATCAACCTATTCAAAACATTTTGAAACCTATATGGATCCAGACATAGGAACGGATAATTAGCCAGGTTTCGACCCCAACCATTTTCCTACAAATATACTGACAGCAGAGGTCGTGCCAAAAGGGAAATGGAGTGACAAAAGCTTCTCCTGGCCTGTCTTGCTGTGTGTTTTGTTTGTGGTAGCCTAGCCTGTGACAGCGCCTAGGCACTCTTCGAATTCATTCGGAATTTTTAGGCACTCTGTGATCCTAAATCCTAATTATGAAATATTCCACCTTTGGAGCTATGTTTCTTTTTTCCATATACGTCTGCTCAGATGGGGATGCAGAGTTGCTATGCTATGATTAAAGAGATGCAGTGGTTATACTGACTTAGCTTCACTTGAACTCCAAGGCTCCAGGGTGAGCTGGACCACCACACATCAAGATTGTAAGGCTGAATGCTTCACATCGTCTCATCAAAGACGCCACCAGAAACATTATCATATTGCCACATCTGCGCAGCCTGTGATGAGCATGTGAACCTGGGAACAACGAAATAAGAGTCATGGATATCTAGCAGTGAGGCCAGAACAAGTTATGGTGCAAATCAGAGAACTACATGTGTGCTTTTCCTTTTTGGAGTTCATGAGCTGGGAAGTAGTGAAGTAGAATGATCTAAGCATGTGAACCCTGATCCACACACACACACACACACAAGGGCACTAAAAGACAGATCTTGTTGTGCTAGCTCCATGCAGTTCTGATTCTAATGCCAGAATAGGGTGGGGTTTAAGGGACAAGCAAAGTAGTCTGTGCATTTGATTTGATAGAGAGAACAATATGCTCAGAAAAGCATGATAGACTGTAGAAATATGCATTGTATTCTACATCGTTACATAAAAGCTATGGTGTTCCCATACTGTAGAGATTGAAAACAGCAGGATAACGTTGCAAATTAGAAACTTCATTCATTGCATCTGTCACTAGAGCAACTTATGTTGATGCAGTGAATAGCCTTCTGCATGTAGCTTATTTGGTGCTCCATCCAGGGTTGGGATTCAGCTTATGCCTGCAGATCCTGAAAATCCAAATTAGATTGCTACTGCTTCCAAAGTTTTTACATTCACAGGTTTCGGTATCTATCACCTTGTAAAGATAAGAAGGTCATGGAATGTTGCTCTCATTGGTTTGAACTCTTATGCGTATTGGGCCTACGTTAGTTAATCACTCAAATCAAGACCGGCCACACAGTTGAGAGTGAAATGATGTGGTCCAAATAGCTCTACAAGTCAGGTGTGCTCTCAAGCATGATAATCACATCTCAACTATTAGATCTTTTGAACGCCATCAATATAACTTGTCTTCGTCTAGCACTGGTTGAGAACAAGCTATTTTCTACAATTCAGATCAATCAATCCATCAACAACCACATTGTTTTTATGGCTCGCTTGCTTGATGTATATGCAGCAACAAAACATGCAGACCATTGAAACCCCTCAATTCCAACTACACCCAGGAACCTTCTCGAGCCCAACTCCCCACATCATGCTCCTTATGATCTCAGCTTCCTCCCATTTGCCAGCATTTGAGTACAAATTAGCCATCACAATGTAATTACCGGTGTTCTTAGGCTCAATCATAAATAGTTGATCGAATACAAATCTACCAAGCTCAACATCACCGAATTCTGCTGCTCCATTAAGCAATGGACCCCAGACCTTTGCATTTGGTTCAAATGGCATGCTGCTGACAAGCTCAAGTGCATCCTTTAGCATCCCTGCACGGCTGAATCCAGAAACCATGCAAGCATATTGCTCCATCACCGGATTGATACCAAACACAACCTGCATGGAGTTAAAAACTTTACGAGCATCAGCTACCTTGCCAGTACAAGCACAAGCTGTAAGCACAGCAGTGAAGACTATGGTATCCGGTCTGATGCCAGCATTGATCATCTCATTGAACAGGCACAGTGCCTCTGCAGCTTCTCCATGAGCCGCAACAGCGGATATGATTGATGTCCATACAATTTTGCTTCTATCACCAGTCAATTTAAAGACCTTTCGAGACCCATCAAGAAATCCAGCCTTTGAGTAAGCATCCATCAATGCAATCACGACGCTGATACTCTGATCATGGTTGTTTCTGATCGCATAGCCATGTGCTTGCTTCACTCCCAGTAGGGTGGCGGACAAATCAACTGAAGGAATGATAATAGAAAGCGTGGCTGAATTGGGTAGAATTCCAGAACCAATCATCTCATTCAGTAGTCCAAGCACTTCAGACTGGCGACCATTTTGAACCAATCCAACAATCACTGCATTCCAAATGCTGATACCTTGAGCATCTGCTCGCTGGAATAGCTCCATTCCCTTGTCGACATGCCCATGGTTCATGTAACCAGTAATCATGGCACTGTAACTGACTGCATCTTTCTTAGGCATCCCTTCAAACAACTCTCTTGCATACTGCAACCTTCCACATTTGGCATAAAACCCAACTGTTGAGTTCCACACTGCGACGTCCATATAGAGCCCATTCTCGGCAGCAAGACGGTGCACTCTTACCCCAAAATCGACAGCCTTCAGCTGCGCACAAGCATGAAATACGCTTGCCACAGTGACACTGTTTGGTCCAACACCGCCACCAGCATGAACACGCGCTAACTCCTGAAACAGCTCCAGGCACTCCCGGTACCACCCTGCACGAGCGTACGCCGATATCAACGAGTTCCAGGACACCACGTCTCGCCGTGGCATTTCGTCAAACACCGCCCGAGCAGAGCGCGAATCTCCGGCGTTCGCGTACGCGGTGATGAGACCATTGGACACGAACAAGTCGTCCCGGAAGCCGCGCTGGACCGCGACGGCGTGAAACTCCGCGGCGACGAGTGCAGGCAGCCTCGGTCCGGACTCGGCCAGCGACTTGAGGAGCCCAGAGAGCGTGATCTCGTCGGGAGAGATGCCGGAGGCGGCGAAGAGGCGGAGGGATCGGGAGAGTGGAGCGAGAGTGCAATGAGGATGGCGTTCCAGGCGAAGACGCTGGGCCGCGGGATGGCGTCGAACACCCTGCGTGCGTCGTCAAGGCGGGCTGCGCGGGAGTAGAGGGAGATGAGCTTGGAGGCGAGAAAGTTGGACGGCGTAACTGAGAGAGCGACGAGGCGGGCGTGGAGCTGGCGGCCGGCGGCGAGGTGGCCGGTGTCCGCGCAGAGCTGGATGAGGTGGCCGTACGCCCGAGGGTCCGGCGGCACGGCGGTGAGCCACGACGGGAGCTGCATTCGCTCTTCCTGAACGGCTACTCGATTAAAGGCAGGGTAGTGGGTTAGACTAGTCCTTTCGTGACATAAATTACATATAAATTAAGGTCCTGTTCGCTTATTTTATAATCCGTACTTTTTAGCTTGTTTTTTTTAGCTGGAACAGTGTTTTTCTCTCACAACAAATCAGCCGGATCACTGTTTTAGCTTATTTTTTCAGCGAAGCGAACAGGACCTAAAGAAACTGAGTTTTTTATAAGATTTCCATAAGAAACAGTTCACTTTCTAATTCTAATGAATAAAAAATGTCACATTTTAATCAGTCTTTGACCGCCAGATCTGCGAGCTGTTAAGGTTTCAGTCAAATAACTGTATCAATTGCCAGTAAACAAAACAGATTCAAAAGAGCTAGTGATTGACCGCCAGATTTAGATTGCGGGCTGTTAAGTTTTCAGCCAAATAACTGTATCAATTGCCAGTCAACAAAACAGATTCAAAAGAGCTAGTGAGCTACTCCCTCCGTCCAGGTTCAAAGCTAGAATTGCATTTTTTTTCTGGACAAAGGGAATACACATTAGAGACGGGAACTGTCACCCCTTGAAAAGAATAATTGTATGCTCCTAGCATATGATATTAAGTGTAGATTACAATGGTAGAACTCCACACGCACAAACCTTCGGGTTTTGTGTTTGTATAAGGTTACAATCTTCTGCATTGCAATTGCAGACTTATATCCCATTACGCACGCAGGGTCACATCACATCATATCTTGTTTCTAAGGATCCTGGCATGCTTCAGCAAATTTGGCGGCAAATCCACCAAAAATAGATGACGCACAAGTTACTGAGGAATGAGGATCACAACCAGCTAGGGCCCAGGCCACCAATCAACTAAACAGCCTTCCAAAAATTGTACGATCACGAATGGAACCTCGCCTTGCTTCTGTTTCTTCTATTACACTATATATATGCTAATACTATTTTAGAAGTATCCGCCATATCTTTCTCATGTACACCACTAGGGACCATATGGCAAGTC